GATTGTATTCAGTTTTGCACGTGGAACTTGAGGAAGTATATGTTGGCAAACTTGCCTGAATGTTGCCAGGGCTCAAAGGGGTTAAATTATACAAGCAAGCTGTAGAAATATGTTTGCTTGAGTTTAGAATGTTTGAGGTGATTTAACTGAACTAATTAAAATGATAAAGAGATTTGATAGCAGGAGTTTAGGGAAATTGTTGCCTCAGGTGGGGGAATTGAGAACAAGATGGTAATTTTAAAAGTTAGAGATGTGTTTAGGAGTGAAATCCGGAACTCCCCAAAGGCTGTGGAGGCTGAGTCATTGAACATTTCAGGACTGAAATTGAATGCTTTTTATTAAAGATTTCAGCAGATGTGGAACAACAGTGAGTAAGTGGAGTTGTGATAAAGATCAGTCATGGTCTAGTTGAATGGCAGAATAAGCTTGGGTGGTTGAATGACCCATTCCTGTTGTATTGTTTCACTCCTTCCTTTGTAACTGGACCAATTTCCTACCTAATGTGGTTAGCATCATTAGTGGACTAAGGAGAAAAGCCATCAGCATTTCAAGGTAGTTAGGAATAAAACTCACTCTGTTAGGGTTGCTTATGTTCCGAGAACATAATGTGAAACAATCATAGAATCCATACAGTGGGGAAACAGGCCATTTGGCCCATCAAGTCAACACCAACCCTCCCTCCCAGATCCACCCCATAACCCTGCATTTCCCATGGCCAATCCACCTAGCCTGCACATCTTTGGACTGTAGGAGGAAACTAAATCACTGGAGGAGACCCACGCAGACATGGGGAGAATGTGCAAATGTCACACAGACAGTCGCCCGAGAGTGGAATTGAACCAGGATCCCTGGTGCTGTGTGGCAGCAGTGCTAGCCACTGTGCTGCCCCATGGTGAGTCTGGAAAGGAAAGAACTCAAACAGTTCCATGTCAGAGACATGTAAGAGAAGAACTTCCTACTGCCACTCTCTGGGAGGATGGTGCACAATGAATGATTGATTGATTCTTTGTGTCTTGCAGTTCACAGAGGAAGAAGATCTTGCTTGGCCTGTCTATCACTGATGATAATGAGTTGGGCAGTTTAAAGCTTGCGGAAAAAATCTGTTTCCACCTAATCAATGAAAACCAGAAGGCAATGCAAAAAGTGAGTGTTCTTACCTTGTGATATTTCACTTTATCATGCCAACGATACATGGGATCCTGAGTTTCTAAAGAGATCCATGGGGTATGAAAGCAAATGAGCAAATTATGCGCAAAGTTTCTAAAATCCTGGTAATCTTCAACCAGCATATTGTGTACAGTTCTGAGCATCACCGTTTAGGGAAGATGTTAAGTATGTGGAGGGACTGCAGAGGTCACTTAGCAGAATAATGAGGGATTTCAGTTATGTGGGACACCCTTGAGAAACTTCAAACAGAGAAGGCTAAGGGAAGATTTTGGAAGTTCTCAAAATTGTGAGTGGTCTTGTTAAGAATCAGTAAATTGAGATTATTCCCACAGATGAGTGGGTCACTAAAACCAGAGGATACAGATTCAAGATCAAAAGAGTCAGAGGAGATGTTTTTGTTTTTAGGCAGTGCAACTGAAATGATCTCAAATGCATTGCCTGAAAAGGTGGTGAAAGTAAACCTAATAATTTTCAAAAGGGAATTGGCTATATACTTGAAAAGGAAAATTTTATAGGGCTATCAGGAAGTAGAGAGACTTACTGGGCAACTCCTTCAAAGAATCAGCAACGGGGTGATGGGCCCCTGTATCGTAAGAACCTAAAAAAAAAGGAGCTGGCTATTTTACCCGTCATGTCTGCCCCTTAATTCATCAAGATGAGTGGCGATGAACGATTTATTTATTATCACATATATCTAGGGAGATACAGTGAAAGGTGTTCTGTTGTCACAATCCAGCACTATTTTGAGGTACAAAGAAAGTAAAAGAAAGTACTTAAATAGAGTTCTGCACTGAATCCAACAGCAATGCAGAAATGTGGCCAGAGATGAGTTAATATCACAGAGGCTTGACTCCTCTATCTCTTCTCCAAAACGTTAGCAAATGTAAATTGCTTTTCATGCCTGATTGGGCTCCAAACTTAAGCTTGCAAAATCCTGAATGACCTCTTGCAAGTAATATCTGCATTTTTTAAATTACACCGGGCAAACTCACTTTACGTGGATTTGGAGAAACTACCAGATTACAATAAAAGCAAAGTGCTTCGGATACTCGTGATCTGAAATTAGTGCCAGGGTAAATCAGCAGGTTTAACAGCATCTGTTTTGAGCCTGATATTACTTATTTTGGACTACCTTGAATAAACTCTTACTGTATGATTCAGTGGCAAAGTGAAGAGTAACATTGGCCAAAATGGAGAGATCGGCCCTGCTCAACATACACAAACAAGGAATTGGAATAGGACTAGGCCATTTGGCCCCTCAAGCCTGCTCTGCCATTGAATAAGATCATGACCTGATTTTGGCAAGAATGTGGAGCTGAGGCCAAAGTCTGATAACCTTCGACTCCCATGTCAGTCACGAATCTGCTTTAAAAATATCCAATGAATCTACCTTGTCCACACTATTGTTAAGATAATTCCAAAGACTCTCAAGACTCAGGGGAAAAAAAAAATTCTTACCTCCATCCCAAATGGGTGGCAATTTTTAAACTGTATTTTCTAGTTCCAGCTGGTTCTTGCTCTTTGTCTGCAAATGCTTTAGAATGCATGGGAAAAGCAAGTACTAGGGACAATTGGGATAGTTTTATTCATTCACTGGCGAGTCCAGCATTTGTTGCCCACCTCTAATTTTTTAATGTTTTATTCACTTGTGGGATGTGGGTTTCAGCTGGGTCAGCATTTATTGCCCATCCTTAATTGCCCTTGAGAAGGTGATGGTGAGTTGCTGTCCATGTGCTTGCTGTAGGTCGCAATGCCGTTAGGGAGCAAGTTTCTGGATTTTGATCCAGCAACAGTGATAGATTTCCAGGTCGATGGTAAGTGGTTTGGAGAGGAACTTGCAGGTGGCGGTGTTCCCATGAATCCGCTGCCCTTGTCCTTCTGGATGGATGTGGCCATGGCTTGGAAAATGCCGTTAGAAGATCTTAGGTGAATTTCTTCAGTGCATTATGTAGCTAGTAACGTACAGTGTGTACAGAGTATCGGTGGTCGAAGGAGTGGATGTGGATGCAGTAACAGTGAAGTGGGCTGCTTTGTCCTCATTGGTGTCCAGCATCTTGAGTGTTGCTGAAGTTGAGTATTCCATTGCACTGCTCAACTGGACCTTGTAAATATTGGACAAAGTTTGGGGAGTCATGAGGTGATTTTCTTTCTACAATGTTTCTAGTCTCTGACCTGCTTGTGTAGCCACTGTTTTTATACAGTGAGTCCAGTTGAGTTTCTGGTAACCCCCGGGATTTTGATAGTGGAAGATACAGTGATGGTAACACTATTGAATGTCAAGGGGTGGTGGTTAAGTTGTCTCTCACTGAAGATGGTCATTGCCTGACATTTGTGTGGCGTGATGTTACTTAGTACTTGTTAGCCCAAGCCTGGATATTGTCCCAGGATGTTGATAGCTTATATGATGTGGTTGGTAATGCTCAGCAAGAAGAGCTAAGAATACCTAAGCTCCACTTTTCCCCATTTAGCAACTGCAGTATATATACTCAAATCAAGAATGTCAAATAGTTTCTTTTGATTAAACTCAGTGAGCTTCATTAGGTCCTTCACATCTGTCATACGAATGGCTAGCACTGCCGTGTAGGGTGACGAAACTATGTTGGAAGGATTGACAAATTTTATGGGGTTGGCAGGATGACTGGAGAGCCTAGGTTTCCAAACAGTTTTAATGTTTTACTTAAGTGAGTTTTTTTTCATTATTTTGTTTTCATCTTGGCAGATTTCCAGACTATTGAATGAAGTTGTTGAGATTTCAGACCATCTGGAGCTGGTGGTAAAGCTGCAAGGAGAAGAACTAAAGATACTGCAAGCTTCAGCTGAAGTATTACAAAATATGAGAGTTACTCTTCCCAGATGATGATCAGAAAGTGGATCATTGGCAATAGTCCCTGTTGCTTGACTGTAATCGGTGATCAGACTTGAACAGGTGTTTGGCTCTGGGAAGACCACATTGCTTATTTAATGATTTATTGTGAATGTCTTTTTTTTTTTTGAAAAAAAAACTACAGTAAATAGTCATTCTGCTGTAATTAATGAAAAACTGGAAAGATGATCAGTATGAACTCCCTACAGCAGACAATGGAAAATCAAAGGGAAGTGTTGCACAGTGATCTAGGACAGTAGTTCCTCAGATATAATTTGTTCTTAGGGCTTGATTACATTGGAACCCCTCCAGTGAATTATTGCCTTGCCCCTGGAATAAAAGAAAGGAGGAGTGACACATCCAGTTTAAGTATGTATTGTTAGGTTCTCAACAATGAAACTACTGTTGCTTTAAAGTGGCTATTTTTCTGATATTTAACAAAACTTACCTATGTAATGAATCAAAACGTGTGTATTGTACATTTTGTAGTTAAACCTATTAAATCTGATCAATTGTCTATCAGTTGAGGTCTCATCTAGAGGTCTGTCATAACATCTCTGAACAGGTTGATTAGAAAATAGCTATACAAAAAAACTGTACCTGCAGCAAATAGTTGAGTCACATGGACCTGAAGAATCCTGATCTGGACTAGTTTAGCTAATTTTGTTTGCCAATGGCTGTATGAGGCACACTACCGGAAAAGGTAAGTAGATGCACCCTTTAAAAAATGTACACAGGTACAACAGGAGAGGAACGGAACAGGACTAATTTTGATTACACCTTCAATTAACTGCTACAAAGATAGTAGGAACTGCCGATGCTGGAGAAGGGTCTCGACCCGAAACGTCAGCTTTCCTGCTCGGCCTGCTGTGTTCATCCAGCTCTACACCTTGTTATCTTCAATTAACTGCTGTTGTGTTGCCTGTAGATGGGAGAGAATGAGCCAGAGCTGTTATCCTTTACAGCTGCAGGAAAACATTTGTCCTGAGTTTGAATAAGTACATGCTGTTCTTACCCACACTCTGTGGAGACTCTCAAATGAACAATGATTTCACTGCTGACCTATCAGTAGGTCCAGCGACTGTCCAATTCTTAGCAAATAATGATAGCTTCAGGGGAGGAGGAGGAGAAATAGCCACAACAAAACATAAGTAACTGTCTTTGCTCTCTGATTATCATTATTTTATCATAAAGCCTGTTCATAATAGCTTACACTGCTTCCTCCCCTTAGTGTTTAGTCTCAGAATCTCTTAGGATGGTGTGTTGCTCCACGACATCCAAACAAAGAGGAAAAATAAGTTTCCTCAAAGCAACAGTGGATAAATTGCACCATCTGATTTTGCACTTAAGTCACTGAAGAGAAAACCATATGCAAATCTTGATCTGTGTTGGAAGTTGACATTTTAGAGGGAGAGATTGCTGATAAGGGGATTGTAAACAGTGGCTGTTACATACATACATGAATAGTAGATAAAGACAAGTTAAATGCAACTCTATTTCACTGTGGAACAAGTTGCCAAAATTACAGTTTAGATGAAAATGACACTTGGATGAAGAGAAAAGCCAGTGCTTTGAAACTGTACCCTGGCTGAAATCTGTACTTGGTAAGAGGAGAAAAGGTTGGAGAAAAATAATCTTAAATGCACTTGAATACAGAAGTTTGACAAGGTTCCACTTGGTAGACTGATTAGTAAGGTTAGATCACATGGGATCCAGGAAGAGCGAGCCAACTGGATACAAATTTGCTTGACGGTAGGAGACAGAGGATGGTGGTAGAGGGTTGTTTGGACTGGAGGCCTGTGATCAGCCCCAAGGGTCCACTGTTGTTCGTCATTTGTATTAACGATTTGGATGAGAATATAGGAGGCATGGTTAGTAAGCTTGCACAAGATACCAAAACTGGTGTTCACTGGAAAGTGAAGGAGGTTATCTAACAGTGCAACGAGATCTTGACCAGCTGGGCCAATAGGCCAAGGAATGGCAGATGGCAATTAATTTAGGTAAATGCAAGGTGTTGCATTTTGATATGACAAACTGGGGCAGGACTTACACAACCCAGGATGCTGAGTAGCATTGTTAAAGAGGGACCTGGAGGTACAGGTACACATTTCCTTGGAATGTGGCATCACAGGTAGGGTGGTGAAAAAGGGCATTTGGCACACGCCTGCATTGGTCAGAACATTTGAGTATAGGTGTTGGGATGTCACATGTGGCTGTGTAGGAATGAGCTGCCGGAGGACATAACAGAGGCAAATACAATAATAATATTTTAAAAAATTTGGATAAGCACATGACTAGGAAAAGGTTTAGAGTGATTTGGGCCAAACACAGGCAAATAAGACTAGTTCATTGTAGGAAACCTGGCTGGCATGAACGAGTGGATTGAAGGGTCTGTTTCTGTGTTGTATGACTATCACCTCCATCAACGATCATTTGTGGCAGACATGGCATCAAGTTCCATCGTGTCCTTACCAATCACAAATACAGTTTCCTATCCAAATTACTCAATCGCAATTGAAAGAATTTATTTCACTTAAAAGGAGGGATTCCAGAGATAATAGAGCTGGTTGTAGGCGCATTAAGTTGAGGACAGTCAATTCAACACAGTCAATAAATTTAACACAGGACGTTCTTCAATTTTATGTTATTTGGTGCTATTAATTCAGTAATTTAACAAACCCACGTAATATTTTTAAACATTGACAATATTATCCTGGTTCTAAAATTCAGCATAACTAAAGGTTAGCATAGATGGCATGTTAATTAAGTATGTTAATTCACCGAACATGACTGTTATCACCAGCTCCCAATACTGAACAGAATTTTTAGCACCATAAACACTGTAGGCTGAAAATGTCCACTTTCAAGGAAGATTGAATCTTACTATGAATTTGTGCTTCATTGCCAGCTTTTCAGTTATTTTGAGAAACTAACAACTAATGATATTTAATTTGTAAAGAAATGCTAAGCAACAGGAAAATTACTGGTCCTCTTCCAATGCTGCTATTTACGGATCTGGCACAAGGACACTCAACAGCTAGAATGGCATCATCCAAAAAAGTGAAAAACACTGGCAAATGAAATATTTCTTATGTATAAACAGTAGGTTTTTTTTTGTATTGGTACAACCATTGAAATTTACTTCAAAAATTTTAGTGACTGAATTATTTTTAAAAAAAGTTCTAAGAAATATACAGCTGTTAGCAGCAGTTACTGCAAAACTATTTCCACCCCAACTTTGAGGGAAAAAAAAAGTACTGTTTATGTAAAATAAATTTTTAATTTAATCAGAAGTTTGTTCTGAGCCGTTCCCCAACCCAAAACCATATCTGAATGGGATTTCATTACATAGGTGCAGTTCTCTGGCCTTGATCTGTACAATTTTTGGCAGTAAGTATTAGTTGCATGACCACTTATTTTACCAACATTAGCCATGTGCTGGGATTAAATGTTTATAAAATACAAATACACATGACATATTTTACATGACAGTGAGGGGTTGAAGTTTGGGTAGCCATAGAATCATGGAATAAAGACACGGAATGATTACAGCACAAAGAGGCCATTCAACCCCGTTCTCTGCAAGAGCGGCTCAGTTCATCCCACTTTCCTAGCTTATCCCTGTATTCCTCTTAAATACCTTCTCTTCAGCTGCCTTTTGAAAGTCGTGACTAAACCTGCCTCCAACACATTCATAGGCAGTGCATTCCAGATCCCCACCACTTACTGCTAGATGGCATAGTTGGCTCTTTTCCAATCACCTGGAATTGTTTAGAATTTTTTTTTGGAAAATATTTTAAAATTCATTAGAACTAGTTGAAAATTTTACAAACCATTTTTGCCTTGTATCAGCTCAATATCAACAGCTCCAGAAAGCATACATTTTCCTTTTGTTGAGTTTGTATAGAATTTCAAGCATCTGTTCTTATTGACACAGCTAACAAGAAAAAGACACTTCAGCAAGCAAGCTTTCTAGAACTTTTATTTATTGCCCATTCAACTTCTTTCTATAATTGTCAGAAACTGCTGGACTGAGAATTGCTTTAGCCCAAAGCAGACAATGATTTCACTGGGATTACAAAGGCTCAGGCTTGAGCCAACATGCTTGACTAAACTAGTGCAGGGAACTATAAACAATTCACACTAACCAGCCCTGAAAGAAAAAAATGTTTATTTTAGAAGAACTTGTTGGTACAGAGCCAAATTTAGCTAATTTGTTTTCACTCTTGCTATGGAAGCAGAGAGAAAGGCTACATGGTGCTGCTTCAAAATAGTTTAAAAATGTCCAAAGTAAAAAGTTGCTTTTTTGTTTCCAGTGTGGTTATAGTTAGGGAGCCGTTGCAGTATCAAATGACAATGGTAGGACTCACCATTAAATTCAATCCAGCTCATTCCAACTGGACTGTTTCTGTAAGAGCATGACATTACCAAACTGACCTTGTAGACACCAAGCTATGCTACTGCAATCCTATATTCTACTGATCCAGTCTAATTAGTTGATGCAACACTTAGCATCAACCACTCTGTTGACAAGAGGCAGTGTAAGCTGGAAATTAGCAAAATTGAATCTTTTTGCATGATTTCAGAGGGTTTCAAAACAATTTGAAATTAGTCTTGAGGTCAAGTATATGTAGTGAACCACATTCTTGTCATTAAAAATGATCAGCTTTTCTGTTAGATGGTACATATGACAGCATTGTAAGGAAACAGGTGGCTATAATATTCAAGTATTGAAGTGGAATTGAAGCTGTCGATTTGCCCAGAATAACACAAATGCTTTGGGAATCAACACCAGTCTTTTGGCTGTTTGCAGAAATTAGTTATCATGACACTGTTTCAGAGCCGAACAATTTGTTTTTTCTTGACTTGTTTCTTCTGAACCATCTCCATAGCAACTGAGGCTTCATATATTGGAATGGGTTCATCCAACTGAGGCCTGAAAAGAGACAAGCAGTTAGAAATGTCTAGACATTGTGCAAAGTCTTCAAAATACCTTTTACATTTTTTTTCTTTAGGAAATGAGGCAAACTGATGCCTAAAATGTTTAGATAATAGGTTATGGTTTTCACCTCATCACCTAATGTGTATTTTAAAGATAATTATATAACTAATCAAATACCGAAGACTGCATTTTTGCTGTGAATTTTAAGGGAAATGTGTAGTATAACTTTTGCATATATATTTACTAGAGGTAGAACTTAATCATAGCACCTAGCTCGATTACTGATTTATTAGCTAATTGTCTTTCAAAGTGAACTGAATTAAATGTTGACAGCAGACTCCCACATCTCAGCTTTTATGTCAAGGGTTAGCCGCACTCATCGAGCTAGCCTGTCCCATTTTAATTTTTTGGGTGACAACCCATCCGCGAGAAGATGTCTCACCTCACTGAACTGCCAGCCAATTACAAAAGCTGTGCTGGTACTAGTGTAAGGTAAAGATCTGGAGTACAACAATGGACCAGGGCATTTAGTTATGTTTTAGTATATACAGGCCCAGTGAGTGGATGAGGGGGCATGTTGCACATTGAAGGGAAGAATAGATGTGGAACTCTAAACAGTGGGCATGGCCTCCAATTGATATGGAGTCAAGTGGGGTGGGGTCGGCTGGGGGAGGAGCAGCGTTCTTTGTTTGACAAGGACCCCACCATGCCTTTAACTGGCCAGCATGGTTAATTTTGCTGGGTATCAGCCCTGCCTGCTACCGGTACGTCAGAGTTGTCACAGGATGAGGCCCTTAATTGGGCATTAAAAGCTAATTTAAAGGCCTCCATTGGGCCATGGGACGGAGGCCCACTTGATGTCTCTGACCCTCAAAATTGTAATGGAGGCAGGGATGGACAGGCCAACAGTGGGCATGACACTGATGCTTTGTAACAAACTGGCTCACACGTCTGCTTCCATTTCCAGTGAGTGGTCTGTAAAGTGCAACCTCAAGAAAGGCTAGAACAAGTATCAAAACGATTACCGAAAGGTTCCACTGGCCAGCTTCTCCATCACGTCTTTCAAAATATCTAGACAATGGCATTCAGGAGTATAAAGTTCAGCGTGACAAAATGTGAAACATCACATGAAGGGAAAACAATGGATACACATTTGAAGAATTTTGTACAATGTATCTTCCCTACTGCTAAATGATTGCATTCTTAACATCAGATTGCTGACCTTGGATGTTTTGTTATTATAATCATTTCACCATTTGAGAATTGTTCCTCTCGTCAGTCTGATATGCATGTCCTAAGCTTCAATGTGATGATCATGAAAATCTTTCCTTTTTTTCGTGGAAATGTGAAAAAGAGGACAAAAAGAACCAGTCAGGTAAAGGAAAACACAAGCATGTTGTGGGGTTGTGGGGTTGTGGGGCTCGGGGAGTGCAGAGAGAGAGAGACATACACACTTATGAAAATGCCAGGGATGCACTCTAAACATGTTAATTTAAGTCAGAGATTGGTTGAGCTTAAACAGACTACCAGAAAAAGTCACAGATTTGATCATAGGTCTGATGAGTCCATCAAAGTTAGTGGAAGTGAAGGTATGCAGACTACAACCAGCTGCAATAAACTGTGTTACTGGGCTGGGTGTTGGCTAAGTTACTGGCTGGGTTTTGATGGGGAGGCTGGTTGCGAAATACAGATCACAGTTTCTGCTCTTGCTGGCCGTCATCCAGTCATTTACACCCGAACATGTGAGAGAAACGATGTTCCAGGGTAAGCTTATGCTTGATTTTGTTTCCTACATTTGAGTAGCCTGTTGCTTGCC